AGCCCCGAGGCCGGGCACAGCCCCGCTCCCGGCGCCGCCTCACGGCCGCAGGCGCTGCCTCCCGCGGCCCGGCCCGGTCCCCTGCGCTGGCTCCGCGGGGAGCGCTCCGCGCCGCGCGGCCATGGAGGCCCCGGGGCCGCCGCCTACCTGCGCCACCGGCTCCGGCCCTCCGCTCCGCCGGCCCGCCCGCACGGTGGGTGCCGGGAGCGGGGCGGGGCGGGCCGGGAGGCGGCGGCCCTGCGGGCGGGGGCGCGGGGACTGCAGCGCTGAAAGGAACGCGGCTGCGGCGTTCCTGCGGCTTCTCGGCCGTCCCGGGAGGCGGGATGGGGTTATGGCCTGGTCCCCCGCGATCCGGAGTGGCGGGGCCCGGTGCCGAGGGGAGGAGGCAGCTGCGTGTGCCCTGCCCGGGGGTGCCCGGTGCGGCACTGCCGGGCTCACGGCCAGGGTCACTGCCAGGCTCGGGCGATGCGCTGGGTGCCCTCCTGGGAGCACTGTGCCCTCAGCACCGCGGGGGTGCCTGTGCGGCTCTGCACCCGGCCGTGCGGGGCTTCGCGCCTCTGGTCATCACTAAAACAATTGAGCACGTGAAAATTCAGCGGCTCTCACCTCCCTGCTTTCTCTGGCCGCGAGTTCGTTCGGGACAATTTCCCGAAGTGCTCTTATCCAGCCCTACTCCCTGAGGACAGTCTTACCTGTATCCTGATGCGCTCCATGGCGTGTTTTGCATCAAGGCTTTGCCCTTCTAATACAGGCGGTTTGAACAACGCAGTTACTGTTTGCCAACAGGTTTTGTGTGTTTTGGTCCCTCTGTGAACCCTGGCAACGTGTGGGGATCTAGTAAGTACAGTAAAATTTGGAGACTTTATAGGAAAAGATAATTTGGAAAACGACAGGGTTAAGAATAGATGTATAGTCATGCTATATGTGTTCAGTTTTAATGGGCAGCCTATATATATAGGCTGAAAAAAGCCAGTGAACACGTGTTTTTACATGGTAATTTCCATACATATACAAATCAAAGTGACCTCATTAAGGCAGACAGTGGTACTAGAGATGGCTACTGATGCAGCAGGTTGAAGAGTTGAGTCCTGCCTGAATTTCTGCAGGTACAGAAGATAAAAAAATGCAGATATATCTGTGTCCATGTAAAAATCAGGGGAAATTCATCTCTCCTGTAAAGCCACAGCTTTCAGCTGAGGGCGGTAAATACAACAAGCATTTGGGGAGCATTGCCATGCATACAGCATTGGAGAGAAAGAAAGGGAGGGGAGAATGTTGACCTAAAGGATGAGTTAGAAGAGACAGACAAGTGGAAAAAGAAAAGTGTTAGAGAAGGAAAAGAAAAAATAGTAGTATTTACAAAGGGCAAAAGTAATGATGACCTTTCTTTTGTCTTTTGCTCTGTTAAATCACATTTCTTAACCGTGAGAAATCTCAAAGCTACTTTAACAATTCCAGGAACTCACAGGTGGAAGAGTCAAGTGATCTGCTGGAATTACACTGAGAGAAGAGAGATGGGCGGATCCTGTGCTGAGAAGGGCAGAGGAACTTCATAAGCAGAAGGTAGGACTAATGACAGGGTTTTTTTTGTTCAAGTGTCTGACTTTGTGAATAATGGATATTTATTGGTAAAACCTTACAAGTAACCTCAGTATTCTGTAGCTGCAGGGTTAAATGATTCTTTTCTGATGATAAGCCCTTCACATAACTTTTATGAGAGCCAGTTCTGGCATATGCTTTAAATACACCTTCAGTGAATTTTGTGTATTTTGAAGTATTTTATGGCTGATAGAATTTAACTGTTGAGACTTAGTTTTACTTATTACCATTTTCTGAAATTTCTGCTTCATTATCCCATTTTCCCCCTGGATATTTCCAATATCTTGTTCAAAGTGTTCCAGATAGTCATTCCTGTCCTTTATGAAAGATCGTAACAAGAAGAGAAATTAATAGATGATGTGAATTTAAGTTCATTGTAGTGTTTACAGGGTTATTACTTTAAATGCTTTTTTTTTGCTTTAAGCTGTTTCCATCTTACTACATGTGCATGGTTAGTACAAGAACTGTTGAATCTGTTCAGAGTTGCAAGTGAGAATGAACTTTCATGGGGGTTTTGGTATTTGCTTTTGGTATTTTTCCACTGTGTAATTGTATTTTATGTGGGGGTTATTTCTTTTGAGGACAGTATAGGCCAGAATGTTTTCAGGTTGTGTAACCAGCTTTGTTTTTGTTCATGTACCTTATGGCATGATTTTGTATCATGTATTTCATGACATAAATAAAATAGATTTTTTTTCCTTGATCTAAGGAAAAATCTCCAGTGTACTTAAAATCTCGAGTCTAACAGCTCTGAATAAAATACAAATAGCAGAAGAAATGTGTGCTACTACCAAAGGTGAATAAATATTTTGAAAATCTCCTCTCACAAAATGGTGTTACTTGGTTTGTAGAAACCTTGTCCCATATATTGGAACACTCACCAGAAGACTTAACAATTTCTAGCAGCATGTAAATAAGGCTCTGTAATTAGCAGTCCTTGTGTATTGTTCAGCCTTTTGTGTGATGAGTGGTAAAGGGACTCTAGTAGGTTTTCTCAGGATTGAAGATAATGATTCAAAGTGTACATTCAAAGATAATGTACAAAGTGAATATGAAAAAGAAAATTCATTGTGATCTTAGCAGATGATCAGCTTATGCTTGGCATCTTAGATGCACTTTATTGTTTTCTGGTCACTGTGGCTTTCACATGCTAACACCAATCCCAAATTATCTCCTCTTGCTGCAAGAAGAGATAATACCTCACATACAATCTCACCACCAGGAAATTCTGCCACTCCTGTCTGTGCTTCTATAACCTCTACTTCATTTCAATGCCTCTATATTAGCTTTTCTTAGGGTGTCCCCAAATTTAATTTTGATAGAACAGAAACTACATAATTCCCATTACAGAATGTGTCTCTGCTTTCTGTGGAGCTAAAACAGTGCCTGGTACATCATTTATAAGGACTCAGCTCTGATCTCATCTAGATAGGCAAGCATTGCTGTGCTCCTTGTCACATTCACTTAGTAGCTGATTTTACAGGGTTCAGTACCCAGCAATAGGGCCTGGGATATCTTGTGTCAAAATCAGGTCAAGGGACTTGATCAGCTGCAGTTCATTTCCAAAGTGGGGACTGATGTGGTACAGTATGTTCCAGAAAACTGGGGATCAAAACTGAAATTTCAGCTGTTAATAACGCATGAAATACAATTCAATATAATTATTTGTATGGAATGGTCACTATTTTAATAGCTGACATTCATGGGAATCTGTATTGTGTTGACATTTGAACAGACGCTACATTTTAGAACATCAAACAATGTGGGATGTGATGCTGCAACTGTATTCTTTTGGCAGTAATTCCATCATAAGGACTTCTACCAGCCTTTTACATTTTGCCCCCTTTGCCTTAATTTTACTCAGTCTCTGATTCGAACATTATAGTTAAAATAATACTTCTATTTTGCCATGTTGTTTTGTATTTCTTTGTACTTATCATAAGAAATTATGACTGTCTTAAGCTTGGTTCAGTAAATACATCTCCAGTTTCTTTAGATTATTCTCTTTAGTACCAGATTTGTTGCAATACTGTGTTTTCTCTTATTTTTTTTGACACACGCCTTGCCCCCCACACCCTGCAAGTAGAGCATATTTCTGGTTTGTAACACATCACTGACATCACTAGCCTTGTCAAAAATTAGGGCATCATAAATAGTCATGGATTGTTGGTGACTTACACCAAAGTTGTCTTGTGTCTGAGAAATACTTTAAAGAGGTATATACAACAGGCCAAAGCATTAAATATTCTTTCAGTACTCTACAGTGTGCTAGACACCCCTAGGCCCCTACTGCCCCCACTTGTGCCATGTCCTGCCTTGTCCCTTTTCCGTTAGATCTTGCTGCTGAATTTTCTTTGTGTTTGCACTGGGCATCAGTTGTGTGAGCATGAGACAGCCAGGTCTGCTGGTGACTTCTATCTGCTAAGTGATTTATTTCTAAACTTACAGATGGCTAATATTTAGAGCCAATCCTGGTTCTTCTGCTTTTTTGAAGGTTAAAAGAAGGTTGCAGCTATAGGCTGAGCCTCAAGCTAGCTGATTTAGAAACATCTTGTGTAGCTCTCCATAGCAATCTTTTTTGATTGAGATACGTGGCTTCATGCTGAGGTAATCTGCAGGGGAAGGAGAGCTTGTAGTAATGAGCTCTCCTTCCCCTGCTGATTATTATGTCCAATCCACAGGCAACTCTGCTGTATGTAGCTGCATAAAACATTTTAAAAGATAAGACTGATCAACACCTTTTTATGGCCATAAGCCCTCAACCAGGGGTCATGCCCTCTGAAATGCTGAAAACTTTTCTAAAATTAATTTGCACTCCTGCTATAAAGGGAGTAGCTATCTTTAATTCTCTAATTGATGCTGTCTAGCTTTATAATTATTTGGGGTTTTAATCTGTTTTCAGATGCAAGGTGTTACTGCAAGTTTTAAAAAATCATAAAGAGCTCCTTCTAATAGATAAGTAATAGAATGTTTGCTCTACTAAACTAAAATATTAATATTTTCCTTTGTAAAATCTACTTTATATGATAGTTAAAATGCTTGGGAGTTCTTCCACAAATTCTACTATGTTTGGCTAAGTGCCTTTTTGTTTCATCTAATCAGGAGACACTTAGAAGAGAAAATGAATTGCCTCACCATTTTGAATTAACCGCAAAAGATACTCCTGACAAGATCTGTAAGAAAAAGAATTCATATGCAGAAGCAATTGCATTTTCTGACTGGTTCTTTGTGTTCTTTTATGACCAAAACATTACTTTCTGACTATTGATAAAACACTGATCGAAATGGAAAATGCAGTTTTCCTCTCAATTATCTTTGTCTTTGAGCTATCTTCCCTGAGAGAAGTGCTTCCACATCAGGGGTCAGTTTAGTTCTGTTTCTTCTTGTCTTTTTGGTGGGAAGGTTTTTTTACCTTTGTTTTGGGGGCTTTTGAGGTAATTTTTGTTTGGTTGATGTGGAATATTGGTGTCTGTATAGTCTATCTTACAGCAGGTACCAATAAATGATTTGTTATATTACTGGGAAGAAAATTATTAAAGAATTCAGGGAAGATGTTGCTTCTAGCTGATACCAGTTGCTTTTCTGTTCTTGCTGTCTAAAAATATTTGCAATAAAGGGGAAACTTAAAATATGCATATAGATGTTTGTGTAGAGTTGCTGTGCATGTTTATGATTGTGATGATTCGAAAAATGTATAAAAGTCAAATATTGAACTGATTGGTTTGATGTGTGATGATTAAAACTGGTTTTAGCATTCTACATAAGATTTAAAAATAGTTAGCTTCTGACTTGCTCTTCCTAATAAGCTCTTATGTATATTACTGAATGAGTTTTGTGAGTTTCACTGCAGCAATAACCATTCTATCTGTTTGGGATTATTTGTCTTATAAACGTTGAACTTTAGGTCATATTTTGAACTAAACTGTCTCATATTTTCTCTGTATTCTTTTATTTCTTTGTTTTCAGGATTATATATATATATATATATACATATATATATATATATACGACTTAATTGCTTTCTTAATTGTCAGGAGTCTTGATTTCCATTTCCTTATTGTCCCCATTAGCAAATGCAGTATATTTTCATCACATGTTCCTACTTAGATGAAGGGTTACCTTTCTTCAGGTATATTTGCAAAGAGAAAGCAGTCTGCTATCAGTTGTTCCTAATCTAAATGTACACTGGTGTTTTAATCACTAATAAACATGTCAAACAAACTCATTTCTAATACATCAGCAAGCAGAAATAAAAAGAATATATATATAAAAGTAGATTTTGTCCAAAATCTGAACGTAGTTTTGAATGGAGGTCAAGGTACAGGTCTTAAATGAGAGGGGTTTTTTTTTCTCTTGAAGTTTAACATGCATTCTTCCTGTCTTTTGCGGGACGAGCTGGTCGCAGGGGTTTGCTGGTGGCCGTGGCCACGGTCCCTGGGTGCCGGGGCCGGGGGACATTGCCCGGTGTGGCAGGGCCGGGGCCAGCGCTGCTCGGCTCCTGCCGTGTGCCGCTCCTCGCACAGCGCTGCTTCCATTCCAGGGCAGAAACTGCGACCATTAGAACGGGGACAACAAGCTATTTTAGTAGCCTGCACTGTAATTTATTTGAAAAATCAACCTGAAAATATTTCATGTTGATAACTGAATTTCTTTGCGTTAAAGGGAGGGAGAACACTGACACCTTGTGCAGTGCAGTAGGCTGTGTATTTGGGCAGCCAGGAACTGTCTGTACTAAGCTTCATGGTACCGCGTGCTTCGTTTAGATCTAATGTGATTTCCTACTCCCAGCTCCAAACCCAGTCCTGCAGCCATGATATTTTCTGAAAAATCCTTTTGCCAGGAATTTTCTCCTGAGGAGCTGAGGAGCCTCAGGAAAGAAATGAAGCAATAACTATCTGCTGCTGTGGAGTGCAAGAGGTGCACCTGTGCTTGGTGCACGTTGGTTGTTTCCAATGATTGCCAATCACAGTCAGCTGGCTCGGACTCTCTGAGAGTCATGAGCTTTTGTTATTCATTCCTCTCCTGTCCTTTCTCACCTTCTGATGGATCCTTTTCTCTCTGTTCTTTTTAGTATAGTTTTAGTATAGCATTTCAATATATATCATAATCAATCAGCCTTCTGAAGCATGGAGTCAAGATTCTCGTCTCTTCCCACGTCCTGGCACCCTCGAACATCACCATACTAGTCCTGCCTTAGTACCAGACCTAAAACTCTTCTGCAGCTCCTGCATTGTTTCATTACCTTAGAAGTTCAAACACCTGTGGGGTACCTGTAAGTCCTGCTCCGCAAGCATGCTAAGATTAAGCAAAAAAAACCTTAGTCGAATGGTCTGAAAAAGCACATAATGTTATGGGAGGACTACACTGTGTGATCATTCAATGAATGTGTTGTCTTTATACTCAAGAGTGAAGAAAGTATATTCTTTGGGATAGAGGCCAATAGCAATTTAATCACAAGGGAAAGAGAGAAAAGCTGGTTTTGTGGGGAAGGAACCTTATGTCTCTGGCATATCTGACAGCAAGACAGTAGCAGAATGTTCTGGATAAAGAGGTGTTGTGAATCTTCAGTGTTTTATTGAGAGCAGAAGCTTACTTCAAAGGCAACATAATATCTACTGCCCAGTCCTATGGGTTATTTGTAAAGAAAGAGGGAGTCAGGACAGTGTGGCCACAGTGATAAATCTGGAATGGGATGACCAAAGTATTCTTTTCTAATAGAGAATTAAAGCTTTGGTGCCAACTTGAGCACGTCCAGAAATGTAAAGCTGGTAGTGCCCTGTGAAGTTAGTTTATATTACGAAATGTAAACTCAAATGCTGCAGTGGTAGTAAGTTCAGTATCTCTGCTTCCTTTATTTCATCACTTTAGTTTTTTCACCTTGTTACATTATTCAGTAGTTTCTTGAAGTTCATGTTTCTTGTGAGTCTGAGGGTTTTTTAAACCTCAGTTTATTACCTTTGTTATTTTGTAGGACTAAGTTTGTATTTATACTCAAATTTAAACTTTGTGATTAATCTGCGCATGTTCCCTTTTCAATTCTGTGTGAGTTGTGTTCTTTGCTATTGTGCTTCACTGTGAGGGTGACTGAGCACTGGAACAGGCTGCCCAGAGGGGTTGTGGAGTCTCATTCTCTGGAGATACTCAAAACCTGCCTGGATGTGACCCTGTGCAACCTGCTCTGGGTGACCCTGCTTTAGCTGGGGGTTGGTCCCCCTTCCAACCCCTGCCACTCTGTGACTGTGATGTTTCTGTTTGTGTTGTTATCACTTTGGAGGGTTTTGCTAACAGTTCTGTAGCTTTTCCTTTATATAACAACAAACAATTTATAGTATAGTGTTCTAAAGTATTTTGACTTGCAAATATTTGAAGAAAGGCTGACATTTTAAAACATGGTTACATAAGTTTAGCCTATGAAAAATGGAACATTTTTAATTTATATGCTCATTGATGAGAATGAAGATATAAGTTTGTGAAATTATAAGTTGGTCATATTCAGAATCAACAGGTCTCCTGCTATGAGTCTGGTCAGAAGGTGTTACCTCCTCTGGAAGTGTCTTTACTTTCTTGTTAACATTAACATACATGAGGGATGGATCTATATAAGTAAATATGTAATAATAATCCTCTGTGGCATTTAAACATCTGGCATACGAGTTTAAAGTGTGCACAGAAATTACTAGAGTTAAAACTAAATGCTGTTAAATCTGTGCAAAGCCTGAAAATAACAGTTCTGGATATAAATATTTAAACTTTCTTGAAGTCTGAGGTATCAATTTTGGCAGTGCTGAAGACAGTAGAGCCTCCAGTGTTGTTACTGCCTGTGAAACTGGCACAGGGCAAGTGCAGTGTAATAAAGTCTTGCAGCTTTAGATTCCCACATATAAATTACTTCTATGCTGAATGCTTAAAATCTAAAGTCATGACAGTTTTTAACCTCAGGAACTATGGAATCATGTTGATGAGGAAGAGCAGGACTGTGAAGCCACTACAGTATTTACTAATTTATTGTCTATGACATATTGTATCACTGTTTAAAATGGGTGTACGATACATCACAAACTACCACAAACATCATCACCCATACTATGTGTTCTGCAAAAAGAAGCTGGACATCTGAAGGAACTTGTTGCTGTAGTTCTGTTTTATTTATTTTGTTAAATTCCTGTTTCCATTTTAGTAAGATAGCAGTTGCTTTAGCTAATTTGGGTTTTTTTTTTTGTTTTGATGGCCTGTTACCACAGACAGGTACTAATTTTCTCTGCAGCTTCAGAAGCAAGAGAATAAACAAACAGCTGATGAATATTGAGGTTTTTTCACAGATGCTTCCCCACTCCAAACTGTAATTCTGCAGCACATCAATTTTTGGCCAGTATGTAAGAGTAAAAAATTATTGATTCATCCATGTACTTTTTATTCCTGTTAATTATGAATTACTATTCTGTAGTACTATAGCTGCTTGTTTTTAAATATTACTCCTTGTAAGTAAAATTATTAATTAGAAATCTTCAGCTTGTTAATAATGAGACCCAAATTTGCATTTTTTTTTTTTCAGAATCTCTGGGAAAATGTTTTTATCACTGTATGCAAATATTTATGTACCTCCATTGGTATGTTGTCCTTAGATCAGCACACTATGTTATTAAAAGTGAAAGAAGTAGTGAGATGGGAGAAAATTTAACATGCTTTTCTGACTTTATGAATATGTGCTTTTTTTTTCCATTCAAAGCCTTTAGAATGTATTTCCTATACTAAGCAGATTTAATTTGGAGAATTTGTGGGAGGAAAGTGCAATGAATAATTTTTTTGGAGATACATGAAAAATGTTGACAGGTTTGAAATAAAGCATACCAGTTTCCTGCTGAGATTCATACTTGCTATTTTGTGATCTCCTGTGTTATCTGTAGAGAATGTCTTTGTACATCAGAGAAGCAAAAAGATCTTCAGCAGATTATTTTATTGAACTCATAATATCTGTGAAGAATCATAGTGCCAGCACTTCTGCTACATTGTTGTCATTGAATAATAAATCATTGCTGTAGCTGCACAACGGGGTATTAGCAGTGCTGATGGTGGCACTCTGGACCTGAGCTGAAGTGGATTATTTTGAAACGTAGAGCAAAAAGGTAGATAGCAGGGCTCAGCAGAGCAGTTTTGGGGCTAGAGCCCGGTGACTAACCACAAGAAAGGAGATAACAGAAATTAGATCTAGCTAAAAAATGACGTTAGCTTGCACAATCCTTAGATATCCTCATAACCTAATTAT